ATTAATTGTACTAATCCAGTGTGATCAAGGGGAGATGGTTGGCTACTTGGCACTATTTTGGTCCCTTGCTTATGAAACTCCATCTCTGTGTTTGAAAGAAAAGTCTTTACATAACCGTAATCACTCAGAGACTCAGATAAGAAAAGGACTAAACTGTCCCAAAACATTTTATCTTCTGCACAGATGCTGCCTATGAATTTTGTCTTGATTAAGTAACACAGCAACATAATATTTTGTTCTGAATAACAGATGTCCCTCTGTAGGAGGGAAGGAGCAAGTCTGCTCTCTCTCTGGTGCAAACAGAAACGGGGATTGATGGAGGCTGGAGGATACGGAAACTCACCTGGTCAGTGAAAGTTGCTTGGAAAATAGCTAAGGGACACTGGAAAGGAATATCGCAGTATGTCAACGAATGGCCTGTGACACACATCTGGCTCAGAGAGGTCCCCAAATGTGTAGCCCAGGTGCCATCAAAAACCACAGAGCAGGACTGAGGTCTGGGGCAAATGGTGGGAAGGGAGCAGGAGCGCAGCGGGAGCAGCATCTTAGCTGAGCGCACCGGGGGATCTGTTAAATTAAAGTGGTTTGTATCTTTTCCACCATGTCTGCTTCCCGCTTCTTAAAAATGGGTGTTCTCCTGCCCCAGGAAGCATGGCAGGGCTGGCATGAAGAGTGGTTTTGGGATGCTTATGATGCAAGGTGTGAACACAAATGAAAGAAGTCTCATTCTCACTTCCTGCCCTGCTGCTCATTCCCCATTGATGAGCTCCTGTTTGCAAAACTGTGATCTGCAGCAAACAGCAATGATCTGAGCAGGAGAGAACCAGGATGCTTGGAGACAAGATTTCTCACCAGTCACTTGTATTTTGCTTCTGTTCGTGACTGATTTTTGCAGACTGATTTACACCAAGATGAGTGAGGAGTTTGCATGTACTTTTCCAAAGGTTTACAGAGAGACTTGGAAAGTTAAGTTCTTTCTTGCTTATTCCTACAGCAAAATCTCAGTCTCACACAACCCCCCTTCAGACCTGCCATGGGATGAAGGGTTGAATCGAGATGAGGATGATGGTGTCCTGGTAAAAGGGGGATGCTTCCATCATAAAACTCTCACCTCCCCCACCTCCATCTTTTTTTGGGTGACTTGAATAGAACAGCACTGAAGAGCAGGTTTTTTTAATACAGCTTTTTATTAGAAAATAGAGGCAAACTATCAGAGGAAATACAGAAAAAAGTCTAGGGGAAAGAGATGAACCTCATAGCTGAAGGATCCTATACAACAGAAGTATGTTGGGACATGACATTAAAAAGAAGGACAATTGCAAAATGTAATTCATTTTGCTTTGTAAAAGGAAACATAGGGAAGAACACCAAATAACATTGGATTGTATGTTAGTATTTCACGGGGTGTTCACAACTCCCGCTAGTTTCTCTGTCTCCTGCATGACTATCTTCTGCCTACCAATAAATAAAAACAAAGTCATGAAAAGTACCTGGGGAATAACCATCTCCTTCTGTGTGGATTATGACAGCCTTTCCAAATCCCTGTCTGCACCAGCTCACTCCCTTGGGTGGCTGCACGCAGCCAGGGCCATTTGCAGTCAGAGCTTCATCGGTGTAGAACAGCAAACAAATTGTTATGGGCTAGGATGGTTTTGCATCAGAGGCATCTGCAGTGCTGACTCTGTGTGCCAATGATGTCTAATAGCTGCTGGCCATTACAGCCTGTGTCCTTACAGCCCCTGCTCTTTTCCTGAACAGATTGGCTCCTGTGGGCTAAAACCACCATGAACTAACAGGGATATCTCACTCCAAGCCCAGCGCCCCTTTGCAGCCATGAAGATGAAGCCAGTAGGAATCCTGGAGTCTCACCCCAGAGCGAACATCTAAATAGGGCAGAGAAATCACTTTCTCCATCTCTTTCTTTCTCTTTTTTGATTTTAAATAGGGGATGACTGGCTCAGATGTTTACATCTGTGCTGTAGAGACATAAATTCAGGTGAGATAAAGCCAGCCTCAGAGTATGGTGGACCCACAACCACTGAGATAGGGACAAATAGATATATTAGCAGTTGTTATTACTAATATTATTACTGTTGTTGTTGTTATTGTTTATCATTATTACTTGACTTTGGGAAGATTTTCAGGTGAGAGACTTTGTTAGACTAAGAATTCACCTTCCTTTACCCTGCAGCAGCCAAACTTTTCTAGAAAGCCAATGGAAAACTGCTCAACCACAGCTCAAAAACACAAAACTCCTGCTCACCAAAGAAGGGTCCAACTGGGCCATACTCATGCTCTACTGTTTGTCCTCCTGGGTCTTACTAGAAAGATGCTTAGGCAAAGCCTTTTCTTCTTGTATCCATGCTCCAGTGACACAGTCTGCTACTCACCACTCATAATCTCCGTTGTCGGAAAAGAGTCACCTTATCAGGGCATAAGTCTTGGCATGTCATGTATGTAGCTGCTTTCCAACCATCCCCAGCTCAAGTTTGTTGTGCAGCATGATTATTAGCAAGACATAATGTGAGTTAGAGAAATCATGGCCAGTTGGAAAAGGGGACCTGGATAACTTATTCTTCACTGTCATTTAATTTCTGAGAGAAAATCCCCAAACAAGGGACAAGGCTGGGGCAACTGCTCAGCGAGGGCTGAGCCTGCGCACCAGCTCACTGTCTCTTTGGCTTGCAGAAGTAGGGCAGAGCTGAGCAAAGATTACTGGAGCAGGAACATCTTGCACAAAAAAAGCAAGCTTAAAAGGATACAAAGCTTGCAGGAAGCAGCAGTCTTCTACCATGGCCTGTTTTCCAGTGGATGGTTTAATTCCCTGCTTTTCATGTAATAGTTTAGTCTACTATTATCACAGTCTGTTATCAGTCTACATTATTTAGGGCTGATGAATTTCATGCCAGCAAAATAAAAAAAAAAGCAGGGGAAAAAGCCTATTAAAATAACAGAAACGCACAAGGAAATATTCAAAATCAAACAGATCTACTGAGGGGAAAAAGAAGAAAATGAAAATGGTCCTTAATTTTGTGTAACTATGTATTTGGCTTGTCTGGTGACCACATGGGGTTTGAAGACAAGCTGGCTCAGTTTTTGCAAGCTAACAGTGGTTCATTGATCCTTCCTTCGGCTCCTGCCATGGCTTTGTGGCATTAGAGCTCTTTGCCATTGTTAATAGCAGGATATTAATGTAATGGCCAGGACGTAGAGCAGCAGGGGCTGCACTGGGGAATGGAGTGTGGGGTGCATGCTGAATCCACCAGTGGTGAGCACTGCTAAAAGCACAGAGGGAAGGAGATCATTTCACACTGGCTAGTTTTAATGGAGGGGCTGCTTGTGCTCCAAAGGCACGTCCAAATGTTGAAAGTCAACATTGTATTGATGCAGTTTTGCGTTTTGCCACCTTTGTGCAACCTCAAAGGCAAAGCAGGGAGCAAGAGGGTGGAGAGTGCTGCTCTGGGCATGGGGAGCACCTAGCTCTGGGAAGGGGGTGGTGAACCTCCTTCTTGCTGTCACTGAAGCTCTGGCAGTAATGTCCACCATGCAAAAGCAACTGAACCCCCTGGGCAAGTCTGAAGTAGCACTTTCTGTCATTGCCCAGCAAAGCTCTTCCTTCTTCTGTCCAAAACCACTCTAAACAGCAAGTTGGCTTGGCCAGGTGGCCTTCGAGGTGCACCTTGAGGTGCTGGGTTAGAGGAGTCTTACGAGACAACACAGTTCATAGGACCAGAGCCTCCAAGCCGGATTGTGGGGAGGCTCATCTACATTCGTGGTGGGAACAGCCTCTGCAAACTCCCAACTCCAACTGGGTTAGTGGAGCACTGGGAGCAACCTCATGCTTCCTTTTCTTGGCAGAACAATTAAACACACCTTTTGTGTCCCCATCGCCAAGTCCTATGGCCTTGGCATCTGTAATGGATGGAAACCTAGCTGAGAGTCAATTCCCTCGTATGACTGAGAGACATAACAAAGTGTGGGTTTTGCCAAAGTGTATTCAGTAGCGTATATATGTTTTTGTTCATCATGACAGTCAGAAAGAGACAGGAAAACATAGGTGTGCAGGTGTTCTATGACCTTCATAGTTGGCCACACCAGGGTGCCTGACCAATGCTCTCAGCATGCACAACAATGAGATTATGAGAAATTGCACAGCCCCACGAGTAAACAGTCTCAGATCTGGCATAAAGATGGTTGTTTTTCTAAGGGTATAAAAGCAGGACCCTCTTGTAGCTGAATCCAAAGCCTCACCTATGGGTGGACACACCATGCAGGAATTTTCCCAGTTACCTGAGACTCCTGGCATCAGCTGCAATGGGGCTTCCCAGCTGGATGTGTGGGCCTGGATGATGAAGATTAAGTGGTAATTGGTGATGTATTTCTTCTTGATCTCTGTTCTCTCTATGTATGGTGCATTGCTGATTTTCCTCTGTACTTTATATATATAGTTCTCCGATTTGCTTCATTTTACTTATTTACTGTATAGATAGAGATATATACCCAATTCGCATTAATGTGCTTGTTTGCTTTCATGTGTTTATTGGCTTTAGTGTGCTTGTTTATTAAACTGTGTGTATTATACAGCTAGTGTGTGGCCTTTTTGTTGTGTACCCTGCCTGTCAGCAGAACAGCATCTTCCCTTACATCTAGCTGCAATTTGTCCATGGCAGCAGACCTCGCACTGCCCCACATGTCTGCAGGACAGACAGTGCTGGCATCAGCTGCTGGAAGGCTAGGGATCAATGATGGTCTGCTCCTACTCCTGCCAGGAAGTCGATGATGGCAAGCCTTACTACATTTGGTGAGGGTTTTGGTGCTTTTTTTTTTGTTAAAGCTCTAGCTCTTGGAATCACATGAATATATGTGAAATCAGAGATTTCATTTACTTGCTTTAAAAAAATACCTTCTCAGCCCTCTTGTTAGCAAAAGAACCCCAACCCTCGTGAAATGAGGACTCTTATATATAAAAAGAAGCCATAATAAGTATTTATACTCCTCCGTCACCTCCAAATGTCCCATTGTGTCAGCCAGCTTTGACTGAGGTTTGAGATTGCTGTGTACTGAAATCCACCCATGTGGATCTGGAGGTGGGCCACAGGTTGCAACTTATCCATGAAGCTCTTCTGGAAATAGCTGCACTGGTAGGGCTTCTCACCTGTGTGGATCTGGTGGTGCACAATGAGCTACAACTTCAGGGTGAAACTCTTCCCATACTCTAGGCACTTGTATGGCTGCTCACCCGTGCGGATCCTCTGGTGCTCCTTCACTTGTGCTTTGGTGATGAACCTCTTGCTGCAGTCAGTGCAGGAGAAGAGTGTCTCCCCTGTGTGATTCTGGAGGTGCTCAGTGAGGTCTACGTTCATCTTGAAGCTCCTCCTGCACTTAGTGCAGGCATGGGGCTTCTTCTTTCTCTCAAGATAACTCTGTGTGCTGTGCTTGGTATGGTCTTTCCATTTGGCCTCCCCTCCAGCTTTGATGCCTTCTTAGTCATGCTGCTCTGCAGCCCAGTGATCATCAGCCTGCTTCTCACAGCCTTCAGCCTCTATCTCCTTCTTATGGGATCTCTGGTGGGTTGCCAGGATGCCCTTGTGCTTAAAACTGTCCCCACAAATCGTGCAAGTGTACAACTTCTCTTGAGTGTAGCTGAGAAACTCCTCTACCTCCAAGAGCTCCATCATCATTATGGCTGGCTGTTCCATCACCCACTTCTTCAGAGGTGGGGGCCTGGGTGGTGTTCACTAGGACAGGCATTGTTGGGAGTCCTCCTGGCTGTTTCTACCAGCTTAACATGCCTGCCAGGGCTGCTAGGAGGCAGCAAACACAGGAAAGTTCCAGCGCTGGTCTGAGTTACTCTTCTTTAGATGAAAGCCTATGTTTTCCTTCATGGGGTCTAAACCTGGGAAGAAACCAAGGCAGGTGTTATTGTCAAGGCCAACAGGAAAAAAACCCCAACAACAGACCAACCACTTTTAGTATAACAAGTGGTCATGTGAAGAAGAAAATTGTAAATAAAAGCCCAGCCAAGCCTGGTTAATTCTAGTAAAACCAAAAGCCAAGTGACTGTAAAATCTAGGAAGGGATTGAAGGGCATTGCTGGAATTGCCTGGCACAGGCTGGAGGTTCTCCACATCTCTGAGTACTCATAACAAGAAACTGGTGCTGTGGGGGTTCCTCCTGCTGAGCTCTCTCTGAGCAGGAACCAACACCACTTTTCCTTCAGAGAGGTGTCTATGGCTGGTGGTCATAACCATCAGGGAACAACTCACAGCACTTCTAGAAGTAATTTCTTCTTGGTGGGGGGCACACCTAGACCCATTTCTGGAGCATTCCTGGGGTCGTGAGTCAGGATGACCAGACCAGGACCAGGGGCCAGGACCAGGAGCATCCTGTGTGAACAGTAGTCACTGAGATCATCTGCGCCTTTTTCAGTGCACTGGCAGAGGGACCTTCTGGGATCACAAGGGGAAGTGTTGAGGATGAGCAAAGAGCTGCTTGTCTCTGGGATGTCTCACGTTGCACTCCCAGCACTGAGATACCACATCTGTGGTAAAGAACTGCCCAAGCATTGTCTAAGGCTCATCTGGCTGTGCAAACCCCATGGGGCTCACGTCCTCAGCAGGTGCACATTTATTTCTCTAGGGATTTTGTGTCACATCCAACTTGGTGAGGGAACAACAACATCTGGGTCACAGCTGCAGCCAGACAGACTGGAGGCAGAAGTGAATCTCACACCAATGTCCTCATTTCCCTGTGCAGCACCAGGACAAGCACCAGAGCCTGTGCAAAGCTGCTGGGGCTGGTGGCCAGGAAGACATCTGAATGGACACAGATGTCATCCTGGTGTCCAGGACAGCAAGGAATCAACTCCTTCTCCTGCCCCCTCGCCCTGCGGTTGGATTGCTGGAGGTCCAGCTTTGCCTTGATGCCAGCTTCAATTTGCAGGTTGTCACATGTGACCCATGAAGGGTGCAGCCACACCACCAGCACCACATTATTGACCCAACTGCATGAAAAGTCCAGACTGAAGAAGAACCCCATTTGCCACAGACTTTCTTCATGGGAGAACCAGCACCAGAATCCCAGCAGGCATCCACAGGGATTTGCAGCACCTTTTCTTCTTTCTTGCCGAGAGAAAGGATGGGTGTTGAGTGAGATGTTCTCTGGGGACCTTTCAGTTAGGCTGGAAGATGGAGGTTGCTTTTACTTTCTGTGGTGAACAACTTTTCCGAGCCCTGAGATGACTTCAGGCAAACTTTTCTCTCCTGCTGTTCCTTGTGCTGGAATGTCTTTCCTGGTGATGGCTGCTGTCTGAGTTTTGCCTGAGAAACACATGAACACAAGCTGCTCCTCACCTGTTGCTCTGCTCCTTTAACTGGGAATAACCCCCCGCACCAACACACACACAGACACACACAGCACAGGCAGGCACAGATCCTCCTTGCAAGGCAGAGGCTGGATGTATTAACTCATTCCCACCCATGCCTCCATCACTCCCAAAAGCACTTGTTGCACAGAGGATGGATGCCCCTTACAGTGTTGTGCTTTTGTTCCTTCGCCATGTGTTTTGCCAAGCTGCCTGCTTCCAGACCAGACATACCTCTGACTCCACCAGCCACCTCCACCCAGGGGAACAAGCCAGGTCTCTCAGGCAGGATTCATCCTGAGAAAGACAAGGAAAGAGATTTATCCCAGCTGGGGCGGTTTGCTCCATCATGGCCAACCTTGACAAACACCCTGGCTTTGCAGCGGTGACCCCAACTCCCAGAGGTATCCTACTGCTGCCCCGGGATGCTGTGGGACACATGCACCATGGGCATGAACCACCATGGAGGGGTTCCTCCCTCAGCATCCCATCCTGGCCCCAGGCATCCTCAGCTGTTTACTGACCTGTCTCCCATCTCCGTCAGCAGTACGTAGGTCTGGAAGTATCCAAGTGTCATTGGCCAGATTTTCTTATTTCTACCCACTTTGAGCTCTTCTTCTTCTTCAGCTACTTCATTCATGTCTGCTGGTGCTGACTCACAGGAACTCTGTGTCAGTGATGTAAAAACTACTGGGGGGGAGGAGAGACAGAGGAACTGGGTCAGAGAGAGAATGGGCTTGGGGGTAGGAAACAGCAGCCCTAAAACCCCTCTGGCATGGGTAGGGGAATCCCCAACCAGTGCTGCCTCCCTGCCCGTACCCCTGCCTGGCTGCACAGCGCCTATTCCCCACACAGGCACTGCCTGGGCTGCAGGCTCCTGGGAACTGTAGTCCTCCACAGGGATGCTGCTTGCCTAGTCGCTTTGGAGGATGCCTACATTTAGTGGCTAGGGGGTGTTACAGGGAAAGACAGTGCCCATGCTGCAGCAGGCTGGAAATAGGTTTTGGTTTACATTAGTTCTCTTTTTTAATTTCTATTTTTAGGCAGCTGAACTGCTTTGCATGAGGACTTCCTGCGTGGCTCCAAGCTGTCTGTGTGGCTGCTTTCATTCTCTGTTTGTGTGGCTGACCCCTCTTAGAGTAGTGCAAACAAGTAAAGCCATCCTACTCTCCTCTTCCCTGGCCTTTTATCTGTGGATCTTAAAACACTTTGCAAATGGGAAATGAAGTGATTGAAGTATGTGACTTGAAAGAGAACCTTTGGTGAGGTAGTGGCAGAGCCCAGGCCTGCATCCTCTACATGGTGGAGGGGTCTCCAACCAGTGAGCCCAAGAAAAATGGTTTCCTCCCTGTGGCTGTGAGTCTCATTTTGAGTCTCCTTTTAAGTCTCCAGCTTGCAGGGGAGGCTGGACTGCCTGTTCCTGGGTGCTTTGCAGCAGGTGACAGTCTGGAACTGGTTGCCCAGAGAAGCTGTGGCTGCCCCATCCCTAGCAGTGTTCAAGGCCAGGTTGGACGGGGCTTGGAGCAACTTGCTCTAGTGGAAGGTGTCCCTGCCCATGGCAGGAGGGTTCGAACTGTATGAGCTTTAAGGTCCCTTCCAACCCAAACCATTCAGTGATTCTATGATTATTCATATTATATCATTCATATATCATTATATAATATATTCATATTATATTATCCATATATCTTTGTTGAGGGTTTTTTTTCTTTTTTTCCTGGGAAGCTCTCACTTCCCCTTCCTCATTCATATTGGCAAAGCTACACACCGAAGCATGTGGGTAGTGAGGGCATATTCAGACTGCACAGATGTACAATGATAAAATTACATGCCTGCTCTTCCAAATCCCCCTGCAGACTAGGGCTAAACCCTGGGAATTGTCTTGCTAAGGGCAGCAGGATGCTTTCTGTCCTCAAAACCAGCATCTGGCTGACCATGCTGAATGCGATAGTAGCCACAGGCCTTTACAGCCCAGTGCCACTTTCCATGCTGGGTGCTTGGCAATCCGTTTGTAAAAAGCAAGCACAGTGGAGTTAAGCAATATTAGGCTGTGCATTAGTGGCTGAGCTGCTCTGAGCCACTGGCATCTGAAAGCAATTTGGTAAGTAGAAAGAGGCCTCCTTAATGCTGAGCTAAAGATGGATTGGGCTTATTATTTGCATGGAGATGTTAAGATGAAAAGTAGACTTATTTTCTCTGCTACATACTTTGTCCAGTATTTAATGTCTTTAGGAGATAAGAGAAGTCCAGTTGTGACAGACAACTAATCACAGCACATCCTTGTTAATTCAGCCCTGTGAAACACATCAGTGTACAGCATAAAAAGCAAACCAAGTACACTCAAGGAGCATTTGATGCAGGCTGGGAAATACCCATGGAAATTGCTGGGAATACACTTTCCTATTGATAAGAAATATTTCCAGGCATCAAAGATTCTCTCCCTCCCTTCTCCTCTGCTGACTCCCAGTGTCAGTGTAGCAAAGGACAGCCAGTCAGTGAATGTCCCAGTTGTAGGGACAACCTCCCTCCAGCCTTGTTTGCCTTACCTTCACTAAGGTTTACCTGTCTGAGAGTTTCTCATGCAGGCAAGGTCTTGTTAGTGAAGGTAATCCAAGACTGTCTTCCCCAGGAGTGCAGACATCCAGGACTGCCTCTCCCCCAGCTTTATCCTTCCTCCGTGGGACTGAAGTGCCGAGCCACAGGAAGCCTATGCCAAAGGTTTGCAAAAACTGCCAGAAAAAGAGGACAGAAAGGGGCTCAAATAGCGTCACACAGTGCTGCAAGAATTGGACTCCTAGACCATCTGGGCTAGGTGTGACTGTCATCCCTGAGCACATCCCTCTTTCCTCGGGCCATAAGACAGGGAAGGGGCTGGGGAAGCAAAGGCTGAAACTCTGCAGGTCCTGCTTGGAACCGGAGCTTCCCATGCTCTATCCCCCTGTAAAGGCAAGCAGTAAGGAACATCTACATGGTCTGGTGTGATTTCTACCATGCACCACTTTACGGAGAGGAGAAAAGTCTCAGAGAGAGCAGATGTGCCTGCAGAGTGAGCAAAGGGATGCTGATCTGTGACTTGTTTTCCTATCTTTCCAGTTACATTCATAGGGCTGGGGTGGGGGTGTGTGTTTGTGTGTGTGTACAAGCTACCTGATTTGGGGTGGTCCATCCCAGGAAATTAATCACAAGCTCCTTAGTTTCTGATCACACCTGACCCCTTAACCTGGGACAGAAGCAGGCATGCAGAGGCTGGTTAGAGGGTTTTTGCAATTAAAGATCACCTTGTAGCAATGTCTTCATGTGGGCTCATGCTCAGGAAATGAGTTGTCATGCTTTATCTTTCCTTCCTGCACTTCAGCTCTTGCGCACAAGGATGCTCAGCCTAGGAAAACAACAGCAGGTGGTGCTTTGAAGAGAGGAGCAAGAACCCAGGAACGTGCAGGAACATCCACAATCTCATTTCTCATTCACCCCACCATAAGCAGCAAATGGAGTCATCAGCGGCATCAGCTAACATGGGGCTTTAATGTAGCCTGAAGTCACTGGTAGTAAGTCAATACAAACAAGCAAAGCTGTAAGTAGGATTTGATCTGGATTTAGCCCAGGGAAGCCCAGATTTTCATGGTGTTTCCCTGGCTCCATATCTCTCCTTCCTATTGTTAGATCTGATTCACAACTCATTTCTGCCATCTGGTCAGAGGCTTTACAGTCCACTTTTCCATACTTCACATTCCCCCCTCTTTGCTTTTCAACCTACCCCAAGCTAGTTAAAATTACTATAAATTAACTTAATCAAAGCAAGACTTTCTTTGTCAGAGGAGTTTATCTGCTTCTCTGCCCATCCACTCTGACGGGGAAGTTTTGGGCCCTGAAATACTGGCTGAGTAAGCGTGTGTCCTTGAATATGCCCGATGCGCTGCAGTCAGTGGTGCAGCAGAAAGGTATTAGCAATCTCTGCCTGCATCCTAAGCCGGCACTTTGAGTTGTGACTAGGAATAACTAGTTTTCAGGGTTGCTTAGCTTGTAGTTCACATGATTTAGTTTCCTAAGTCCTTTCTCCCCAAAGTGAGCTCACAGCAGTGCTGTTCCAAGCTCTCCTGCAGGGACTGGTTTTCTGCTTTGCAGGCATTTCTAATGGAAAGTGAACTTCAGCACAATATAATGATGGCTAATTCTTGCGTGACTTCAAAACCCTGTTACTCTCCTAGCAGAAGTTGTCTTTTACATTCAGAACCTCACTGTTCAGTCTGTTTAATTTTTGGAGGCCAGTGCACATGTAGAAATGAGTACAGTCTGTATCTTACTCTATTTGCAAAGCATCTTATCCTATTTTTCAGATGATGAAAAAGGAGAAAATCTTGTGACTTGGTAGAGGAGGATTTCCAGATCTCTGCTTCTTACTTCTACCTTTGGTTTGCAGTGACCTGGAGGAGGTTGGTGTCCTTGAAACAGTGAAACAGCAGCTCCACAGGGAAGAGGCCAGACAGAAGCAGAAGAGACAGAAGTCAGCTTGGGGTGAGAAAAAGAGTGAGCAGTGGAGCTCTGCAATGTTCCCCATGGGACAGCAGTCCTTTTACAAAGGATAGCAGTGGGCTGTAACCACCTCCTGCAATTAGCAGAGAGACACTGGCCAGCACTGCCCAACTCACCTACCCATTGCAGGTGCTGCTCTTGTTTCCAGGCTAAACCTAATCCTAGAAAAGGAGATCACAGATTTTACTATGACCTTGTTCAGAGTATCTGCAGCTGGGGACTAGTCAGAAGCTTTGATCCTTTGATGGAGATCTCTCACCTTTGCTTTGTTCCAGCACAAGAAATTACTTTTAAGGTAGAGACTGTGCTTTGGGTCAGGAGATAGAGGCAGTGGCTCCAAGCGTGACTTGGCTACAAGCAGTTCAGCTTGATATCCTGGACCCATGTGGTGCTACCTGGTTGCACCACTTTGGCTCTAGATGGGATGAGGGGTAGCTAAGGTGGTGGTGATAAGTAAATACTCACACCCCATGGAGACTGAGAGTCAAAAGTGAACAGATAAAGCTTGGGTAAAAGTGTGTGATACTGACTGTCCTGTTGCTCACCCAGTTTTCACCCTGGTGTTTTTCCTCTCCTCGCTCCCCATCTATGGGGACACCAGACTCCCTGCAGCCTGGGATTCTTGAAGAAGTTCTCATGGGAACTATCACATTCTCAAAAGGCAAGTAAACATCCCAGGGTACTTATGTTGGAGCAAATGTTGGCTCTGGCTCCAGAGACCCTCTGATTCCCACCATACCAGAACATGCTGAGCACCAATCAGCTCCATGCATCCCATCAAAGCATAGAATAAGCACTCTTTCACAAGAGCTCCCATCACAGCCTGTCTCCATCTTGCCTCCAGACAAGCCATGCTGAATACTAGAGACAGAACTGATGTGAGATTATACATACAGATAGTCAATGGGGCAATGAGGTGATCAAAAATAGTCCCACAGCCAAATTCCTCCTGAAATCCACAGGAACAACGTACATGGCTAGAAACAGGACAGCAATTGTCTCAAGACAAGCCTTACCTGACCCACTGTGCAAGACCACATTTCTTCTTAAAAGTAAGAAACCAGGAAAAAAAAATTTCTTTAAATATTTTCTTTATTGAGAAGATATTACAAACTACCAGCCCCGACTGTCCCCAGAAGCGAGGACACCCACACTGGCCATGGTCAACAGGGGAAGATGCAGTGATGTCCAGGAAAGCTATTGACATTGCCTCAGTGCCCTGTCTGTGTGCACGGACACAGTAATACAATTGGCAAACCTTTCATACCAGTTTCTCTTCCTGGTAAAAGCCTCTACAGCCCTATACTATGCTAATGAAAATGACATCCATCTGGTGATTAATTTCTCCCCACTGAAGGGCTCTGCTGTACCTCTGCCCTTTAGCAAGCCTAACGAAGGCTGTTTTGCTTTGCTAGTTTAGCTCAGACAAATTCTTCCCAAGGAACATGGTTTCCCAGCCCTGCTGTGAAGTATTTACCCACCATATGGCCCAGACTCATTTTTTTAACAAGGATGTTCCTTAGTCTCCTCTAGAACATCCTAAACTTGTTTCTTTTCACCTGTGTATCAGCCTTTTCTGTCCCAGAAATGAATCTCTAACAAGTCAGAGGGATTTGAGGGGGAGCTTCATATCAACCAGTTTGGCTACACTTTGTAGGTGAGGCAACTGAGGTAGGCTCCTTCGGAGGCTGTCAGAGCTTGCTTTGCTGTTTGAAATGATGTTTTGGGCCTGACTATATCAAAGGCTGAGAGAATATAAACACCAACATTACTCTGTGCTTTTGGGGTTTGGCAGCTGTTCTCAGTGTTTTGCTTGAGTTGCCACAACAAAGTGCCTCAACACAATGGTGTCCAAGGAGCTGGTAAAGGCAAAGCTCAAGAACAGTTTATCCTGTTCGTTTCCTTCTCTTCACACCTCAGTTACCCTGCCTAGAGAGGCAAGCTGCTCCAGAGTAGGCAGTGCAGATAACAAGTATCTTGGGTCTGAAGCACCACAGCAGGAAGTTGCCCAGAGTCATGCTGCATGGCTTTCATGGGCCTCCAAGAGGATGCTGTCTGCGTCATGTCCTGGGAAAGAAGTGGTGTGTGGGGAGGGGGCTTCTTTTGTTGCACAAAACCAGAGAAGCAGAGCTACTATTTCACCATGGAACACTCTTCCACTTGCCTCTTGGACTCTACGTATCACAGCAACACAACTAACCTCAATATGCATCTTTGCTTGGCAGTGCCCAGGTGGCCACGTAGCAGTGCTGCAGAGAAAGCTTGGGGAGTTGCTCAGGGGATTGTGGATTCCCTCCACACGTCTACTGCACCAGGAACTTTCAAGACACAAAGATTCATCTGACTAGGGAACAATCATACAAAATCATCATCAGTGAGCAATAAAGACTGCTGAACTATACATGCTTTTGAGCAGCTGCTCAGTCCCCTTTACACCAAGGAGAGGAAGGGAAAACACCCCAACAGGGAAATATTTTCCAGTTCTCTAGTCCATAATGACTGAAGACTTTTTCAGCTATTTCTGCTGCTTGGTTTGAATTCCCTAAATCATGCCTGATAAAGTCAATGTCCTACCAAGAGCTTCACAGTTAACAGGTAGGGAAGCAGGTGGCTGAGAACCAGCCCTGGTGTTGCTCCAGCTGGTGAAGTCACTGATGCCTCTGAGACTTGTGGTGACAAAGCCACCTGCTTGTCAGAGATGTAAAACTCGATGCTAAGAAAAGCCATTCTCATTTACATCCATGCAGTGGGATTGTGGGGGCACAAACCAGAATACAATCTGCTGGCCTCTGGGCTAGCTTTGGGAAAACAGTCATTAATTTTGCATAACTTTATTTTATGGACGTGGTTTGAGCCACTCTGGGAGCCTGGTTTGGGGGATTCAGTGCTTAAAATCCTGCTCTGGCAGGCTCTGGCAATAATTTACCCCAGATATGTACACCTGCTTGACCAGGCTCCATCAGCCCAGTAGGATCAAGGTGTGGATCAGAGTTGGCCCTTGCTTTAAACCCTTGCCTAGATGAGGCTCCCTTCAGCTTTCTCGTAATCTACAAAAATAAATCCTGCCAGGTCCTCCCAGACAGATATTGCCCACACAAGACAATTTTGGCATCCACAACTTTGGCATCCTTTAGAGGCACAACCATACCATTACAAGGGATGCCAAGCTTTTACCCCTGCATCTCTAAGTGCTCTGAGGAGACTTGACTTTCCAGCCCCATTCCACTGCTGTGAGCAAATGATGATCTGAGGGTTGTCCTCATAAGAGCTGCAGAGGACTAGTTGCCAGCAGTGCTCTGCCCCCTTGTCCCCACTGTACCCTGAAATTGACCTCCCAACCCCAGATACTGCACACATAAGGCAAGCAGAGTTTGTCTCCATCCCTCCCTTTTCCCAAAGGACTTTCCCATAGGACAAGCACCACACCCACTCAGCTCTCCTCTTTGCTCTTCATGGGGGACAATGCTCTCTGTTCAGCATGGTGGGGTCCACTGCTGGTCCTTGTGGCCTCCCCCTGTTTTGAGCAGGGAGCAGTTCCTTCCCGTGCATGGATCTTCTGATGCCTCCTCAAGTACTTCTTCAGCCGATAGCGCTTCCCACAGACCCCACACTTGTAGGCCCCACCTCGGGAGTGAAGCAGCTGGTGTTTAATCAGGTGGCGCTTATGGGGGAAGCATTTCCCACACTTGGTGCACTTGCAAGGCCCCATGCGGACATGGATAGTTTGGTGACGGAAGAGATTGGCCTTCTGGTTGAAGGTCTTCTTGCACTCAGGGCACTGGTAGGGCTCCTCCTTGGTGTGAATCCTCTGATGCCGGACCAGGTTTGACCGCTGGGTGAAGCTCTTCCCACACTCCGTGCACTTGAAGGGCTCGCTCACGTGGACTCGCTGGTGGCGGATCAACTTGCGGTTCATGCGGAAGCTCTCCCCGCACTCACTGCACTTGTACTGCCCCTCACTCGTGTGGATCTTCCTGTGTCTGGTCAGGTTTGATTTCTGGTTGAAACTTTTCCCACACTCAGGACAAGGGAACAGTCGTTCACCACTGGGACCTCCTTTTGCTGAGGCACCTCTGGACATGGATTTCTCCCGGTTCTCCAGCATCCCCTCTTTGGTGGACAAATAGCCTTTCTTCTGCTTCCTCTTTGGGCTCTGGCTCTCCTGGTGGTTGGCCTCCACACTCGGTTCCTCTTTAATTTGGATCCTCTGGATAGCATTGAGGTTTGGCTTCTGCCCGTAGTGCATGCCAAACTCAATGCTTTCCTGTGGTTCTTCCTTCACATGGAGCACCAGGTTACTGGCTGCGGGGACTTCCTGTTCATGCTGCCCATCAGCATCATCTTCCTTTTTAAGTTGTCTCCCCTGTAAAGCCATCAGTGGGATTTTTGGATCAAAGAGATTTCCATAATCCAGATTTTCTGGTGGCTCTTCCTTGATGTAAAGTTTCTGGCGGGCTATTGCAGTAATGTTTGCTGTATCATCAGTGGGTGGTTCTAGATCCTCCTTCATCTGGATTTTCCAAGGATGACTTTTTGGATTAGATGGGATTCTAGGTATGCTACACCCCTGTCCTACATCTCCTTCATGGGACATATTCTCTGGCATATTCTCCTCTGACCTGAAGACAAAATCAGGCTCCTCTTTAATCTGCATGACCTTGAGAGACATGCTGTTGATACATCCCTCAAGCAGCTTTTGCTTTTGCTTAGCATGGTTCCTCTGGTGCACACTGAAATACTTCTTGGTGCTCAAGCTCTTCCCACACTCAGTACAAATGAAAGGCCCCCCACGGAGGTGTATCTGCTGGTGGGCCAGCAGTGTGGCACTTTGCCCAAAGCACCTACTGCAGTCGGGACATTTGAAGGGCTTCTCCCTCTTGTGGATCTCCCTGTGGGTAGTGAGGGTGCCCTTCTTCACGAAGCTCTTCCCACACTCACTGCAGGCAAACGGCCTCTTCTCCGTGTGAGTCCTCATGTGGATATTGAAGTAGATCTTTGTGCTCAGGTTCTTGCCGCAGTGGGTGCAGAGGTAGGGACCACCTTTGGTGTGTGTCTTCTTGTGGGCGGCCAGGCATATCTCCAGACGGAAGCATCGCCCACATTCTCCACAGCAGAAGGGCCTCTCTCCTGTGTGGATGCTCTGGTGGGTCATGAGGTGGCCCCGGGTGGTGAAGCGCCTCCCACACTCCACACAAGTAAAGAGCTCCTCTGCCGTGTGGATCCGCTGGTGTCTCTTCAGGTTCCCCTTCTTGCTGAAGGATTTGCTGCACTCTTGACACTCGTGGGTCTTTAGCACCACACGCTTAACCAAGTCCTTCATGGAAGCAGTGCCCTGCACCCAGTGGTGCATGGTGGAGCTGCCAAGCAGATGTCAAATACAAAAAGCCACAGCGTTAAGGGACGGACTGCATGGGAGGATACAAAAACCATCAGGACACACACATCAAAGTGTACTTTAATGGATGCAATTTATTCCCTGTAGGGGAAAGGGTGCTGCTGCTGAACACCAGCTCTGGGCCAAGAAGGAGCATATGGTCTTCCTCATTTCTCAGCCTTCTTCCACCTCAGCTTGCAGAAGCAATGTTTGTAACTGCATCTCTTGGCTCCTCTGATCTCCTGGAGAGGCTTCCCTGTCATTTCTGAAGAACTGGATTACCAGACTGAAAAAATAAAGGGAAAATTGCTAGGTTATTATTTCTTCTCTACCTTCTGTGTTCGCTATGTAAACACAATAGGTGGCACCTTGATTGCTCCATGGGAGGCTGAAACTGAGACCTCCGAAGCTACAGGCTTGTCTGGACTAGGAACAGGATCATTTCCCCTGGCAATGGCATCTGTGATGTATTTGCTGCCGCAATAAGGTTTCAACTCTACTATTGCTGCACTAGTGATTTACTCTCAGAATAGTTTTCTGTCCTTTGTCCAAGAAGATTTATAAGTAAATAATTAATTAATCCACATTTTTTATGAGTGACTGTTCATCAACCAAAATCCCCCAAACCTAAAAGAAAACCTAACTTGGCACCACGTGCAAAACTGAAGTGTTCTGCTTTTTCCTGGCAGACCTCCATGCACAGTGGAAGACAGGTCAGTGGTGTCCTCAGGGGACAGCTGGAGAAGTGAAACATGGAAAGATAAAGTGACTTTGTCCTCCTCAATAAGGTTCAGTTGACAGCAAGGTCTGTGTTCAATATATTTACATTTATTCCCCATTTACATTGAGGAATAAATCAGTGCCAACAGACATGTGAGCAATATCTTCTATCAAGACTGTGAATTGCAGCAGGGAAGGAAGGAAGACAGTGGTGCTGGAAATGACTGTCAACAAGTGTATATACATGGCTGGGCAGGCTTTTACTGATGGCACTGATGGGTGAAGGTGAGGCTGCTGAAATCACCAGTTCTGGGCCTGGCTGCCAGCAAGGACACAAGCTGTCAGTGAACTTGTCCCTGGAGGTCTGCATGGCTGAGAAAGCTGTGGCTGAGAAGATGAGTCCCTGGGGAGCCTGCCACTGCTGTGTAAGGGAACTGGGGAGTGGGATGCCATGGATCAGGGGACAAGCAATGGGAGATGTGGAGTATAACATCCAAGCACAGCTTGCAGAGTTTGTTACATGCACCTCAGAGGACAGAGGTCAGAGTGGTAAATGAAGTGAGCAGCTATTTCAGGAGACAGTTATAATGGGGAAATTTACTTCACATTTAGTCACGACGCTTGTGTTTCCCCTTCAGTTAAGCCATCTGGATCCTGACTGATGTAGGTAAGAGCTACTGAGGCACAACAGTGAGCCTCTCCAAGCTAAATTCTCCCCGCTAGTACAGAGGTAACACAGGAAAACAAAAACAACAATTAAAAAAAAACCCCCAAAATAACTACCTGCACAGTTATACTGAGCCAGGAAGGACAAAACACACCCACTTGGAGCAGCAAGAGGGTTTAATGTTTGCTAGTGCAAGGGGGGACTCCGAGGGGGGCCAGGACTCCTCCCTGGGTGGGAGAGCAGCTATGTGACACCTATAGCAGGTTTTAATTCAGCAGCCAAAGCCTCAGCAGCAGCCAGGCTGGAAAGAGGACTCAATACAAGTTCAACAGTGCATTTTTAATTGAGAGAGGTCATAACCTCCTTAGTGGGGAGCAGATTTCGCTGCAGGTGAAGGGGCAGTGGGCTGGCAGCCCTGTCCACGGCCTCTCTCACATGGATGCTCATACCGGTCCCTTACAGAAAACACCTCACTGGCAGCAGCATTTCAATTGCGTCTGGATTTTGGCAATAAGCAACAAAACCCTGAATTCATATTATGGTAAAAGGAGAAAATCCTGCTTATTTTCTTCCTTTTATTTATTTATTTATTTATTTATTAAGTATCCAAGCCCTACAGATCCAAATCCTGCCTCTACTTCCAGCTCCACAATCCCCCTGGGCTCAGGGATTTAATCAAGGGCAGAACCAGATCCCAGGGAGTTGCTTCATCTTTTCTTTGGGCTACGCTGGCTAATGAAGGGCAGTTGGCCGAAAGCATCTTACCTGAGCGGGCCATCAACCCCAGGCTAGCATTGCTCTCCTCCGCGGCAGTCTCAGTGGCACAACAATGTTTGCGACTTGGCTGCAACTTGTCTTGCAGCCGCTGCTGGGCTGACCTAAAGGAAGTCTGTGGCCAGTGCAGTGAGAGC